GCAGCACTTTAACTGAGGTAATATGTTTACATTCAAGTATCATTGTTGTTTTTTTCTATATTAGCATTTAAAAAGGAAGAAATTGTTATTTAAATAAATGCCTAGGCATATTGCCATTACATTTCCAGTGTATATTAATTGGGATACCTACATAGTTTTGTATCCTTTTATATATTATTATTCATCCATAGTTTTGATTGTTCAATAATGAATAAATTAGAAAACTGAAAATAGTACTCACTGCAAAAACAATAGTAATTAGAAGGTTGATATCAGAATGTGTTTCTTTGAGTTTATTTTTATCGATTATGAACGGCAGAGAAAAAAAATATGGGAGTAAAAGATCTGTAAAACTATTTACAAGCTGTCCTGTGATGTAGGGAACAATGGTTGTAGGATAATGTATATAACCAATTTTTATAATTGTCTATAATAAAGATTGTTACAATATTAAGTGAAAATAAGAACATTATGTTATATGCAGTGTTCATGACACTTGGAGATGAAAAAATAATAATTTAAAAGTAAAAGTGTTTTATTGTTCCACTGCAATTTCATTTTAAGGCTAAATATGCAACATTAGTTCAGACAATCAAATGCCCTAATAAGTAATAATATTGCAAAAAAGACATCAGCTTTGCAATGCCATTCCAAATTTTTAGTAGTAACTGCAGAATATTGCGAATTCAGAAAGTTAGCAATATATATAAATAGATAGATAGATCATCAGTTTATCACTAGCTAGTTCTTATGATTGAGTAGTAAGAAAGTAGCATAGAAAAGCCAACAAAAAACTAGAGCATCTAAAGGAAGTGAGTGTATTGATGGACAATGACCCTGCCAAACACTAGCACCCATGTGTACGATTCCCAGTGAATAGGCAAAGTCCACCAGATACTGTTTGATACTAAGATGGGGTCTCTCTACAGTGTATTATGCTACTGACTATATAGTGAACTGATGCACAAGAATATGACTATTCCATTCCTGTGTAAAGCTCTTTAATCCTTAAATTGAGTGAAAAAATGCTTAAACATGTTCTATACTTGATTACCGCCTTATATAATATGCTAATATTCTCATATATGAAATTAAGCTTTTTTTCCTATCATATACTGTATGTCATAGAAATTATTAGAACAAAAAACAACTACAGGGCAAGTTACCAGATATTCTTTATTCAGAAAATTATCAAAAGTCAGGGATTCAAGATATGACAATTATGATAACCATATTAACCCAATGCTGCCAGGAAAATGTAGTATTCATGTAAGTATCATTTTGTGTGGTGTCTACACAGATAACTCCACAAGTGCTTAGGCACCAAGGGGTTATGCAGGCCCCATCCTACAGGCGAACTTTGCTCAGTAAACTTGCCTCTTTGCAGGCTAAGGCTGTCATAGGCATTTATGCTGGTATCCAAATAACATTAGTTGGGCAGTCAGAGCCTGGCAGTGACTGAAAAGGACTGAGTGATTTATAAAATGGATTGTAGGACAAGAAGAAACTTGCGTTGTGTATTGTTGTAGCAATATCTGACAATTGATCGTGGGACATGAGAACTGACAGCTCGTGAGTACTGCAGCATGAGTATTGAAGGTAGCACCTTCAATACTACACTACTGCCCAACTGTGATGAGCAACAGGTTAAACAATAGGGTAAACCTATAAAAAGCTTTGCTTGATGTTTCTCCATTTTTGAAGTTACACCAAGCAAAGTTTGCTGTGCAAACCTCGCCTGTGTAAACGGGGCCTTAGTAGAGCTCATGGCCTCACCCGATTTCACCTTACCTCAAGTTTTCAAGAAAAATATGGCTTTCAATATCAATGCTGCTATCATCATTACAGATATAATCTGTAATAATATAATCATAATGTTATTGATATTACTAAAAGCATTATAAGATAAAAAATATTTATATCAAGGACAATTAGTACTAATAAATAGGTCAATGGTAACCAAGTACATGCAAAGCCACCTTTTTTTAAATGTTTAATGTTTAATGTTTGAAAAAATAAATGTGCTAGATATCAAAGGTCATGTAGCACTTTGGCAAAGTATTGCGTTGAAAAGGGCTAAGGAGAGTTAAAGAGTATGATAAAATGTGTTAGATGTCAAAGGTTTAAGAACGTTATAGGATAGTAGGGTAGTGAAAAGGGGGAATAGGTTTGGGTGGTATGGGTGGTTTGGGTGGTTGAGAGGATGAGGTATTTTGGGAAGGGGTTGGGGGGAATATAAGGGGGTAGAGCAACTGAGGAAATTGAAGTGTATCTGTGACTGGGGAAGGAGTAGGGACATTGATCAAGGAAAACAGATGTGGCTGTTGGAGAAGTTGGAGAAGAATCCAGAGATTGAGGAAGGGAGACTGGGGAAGGTGGTGAAGCATCAGGAAAAATGTCTAGAGAGGAGGGGTCTGGAGAAGGGCACTGTTGTGATAAAGGGGATTCGTGAGAGTATTCAAGTGGAAGTGATAGAGAGGGTGGGGTATGTTGAGAGGGTGTAGGAGGAATATGAATATCTGCAAATACTTCAAATGTAGCAGGAGTAGGAACAGAGATTGGGGGGTGGATAAGGGAGCGGAGTGTTCACTTGGGTCCTCTTAGGAAGTTTTGGATGTCTTCAAGGGTTACTGGAGGAGGAGGGGTAGATATCCGGGAAATGGTAGAGATTGGTGTATCTGGATTTAGGATGGAAAATGGATTTGACTGGTGGATAGGGTGAGTAGACATACGACGTAGGTTTTGGGTATAGGGAAACTATACCTGGGGAGATGCAGAAATATCTTGTGTAGATGGTGGGGGAGCAGAGCGTAGGACCGTTTTGGAATAAGTTGAGAGAGAAAAACCTTGTCGTTGTGCTTCCTGTCTGGCCTCACATAGAGTGAGGCCTAGTTTAAATATAGGACTGCTATCTCACATTCAAACTTAAAGGTAGGGCATCTCCTATAAAACACATTATGGGAGTCTCCACAATTGGCACATGTACATGACTGAGCAGGGCAATTTGAGCGGTCATGACAAGGTTGGGCACATAGAGGGCAGCAGGCTGTGGAGCGACAATGTTTGGCTGGGTGTCAAACATGATAAGTCCATCCACTAATATAAACCTCATGGTGGAGGTCTTGTCTATGGAAGCTAATCTTGGCACTATTGACGTGGGATTTACGTTGGCCTCTAGGAAGAAGAGTGCAACACTGTACTGCCACTGCATCATATTCATCAAGGCAGGAAAGTAGGTCATTTTCACAGTCTGACCAGTCCTTGTTATACATGAAACAAGCATTTGGGGGAATAGAAACAGTTCCAGTACAAGTATTAAGAGTTGGGTGAGGTTCGGCAGGAATGGGTTTGGCAGTAAGGTCAGTTAGGGTAGATAGTGCACGAGCTTGGGCTTCAGATGTAACCATGACAAGGCATGAACGATCAGAGCAACTGCAAAAGGTAACCTTGTCTACTTGTTTCTGGAGGCACTGCTGAAAGAGAAGGGTATTCTCAGAATAGAGGGCTGTGGGGGGAATCACAAAGAATCGATCCCAATTGGCTGGGCCAAATAGAGTACCCAGAAGGTTTGCAGAGGTAGAGGTAGTAGAAGGACAAGGACGAGAGGAAGTGGAGTACTTCTGCGGGGGAAAGAACAATAAGGATGAAGAGTAGTAATAAGGGAAGAGGGGGTTGACACTGAAGAGGGTTGTGCAGTATGGGATGAAGAGGTGCATATTCGGGATGAGGAAAAGATATTTTCTAGGGGTTGAGTAATAACCTGGGTGGGTGTTTCAGAATGGTTAGAGTTGTTCGTAAGCGTCGAAGAGGGGGTTTTAGCATCAGTGGTCGGAGCCGTGCTCAAAGGAGGGGTAGGGGTCGGAAAACCATCAAAATCAAATTCAGATATGCTATTTGATGAAGGGGAAAGCCTTAATGCCTCTATTATGGGTAAGGAATTTTCATTACTGGCCATGGTGAGCCTGAATAAACTTTAGGTCCCCATAAGGGGTAAGGGATAAGTAATTAATCAAGGGAATACCGTGCCCATGGCTCCCGGAGGCGATTCGTGACTGACACAAAGCCAGCCTTTCATCCCTTCAGCATAGCTCTCACACCTTAGGAATGGGATAGAAGGGAATAAAGAAGATACGGAAGAGGAAAGAAGAGAAGAAAGAACCAAGCAAAATTAGTTGAGGCAAAGGCTGATGCCTAAAGTAGGAGTAATCCTCTACATTGGGTCTCAGTCCCCGTCTCCTAAGCCCTCCCACGACGACAACGAGCTACGTTTTGGGAGGGATCTATTTTTAAAGCAGTTAACCTCTTGGACCTGGATGACTTTATGGTCACATCACAGTAAAACTTGAACCACTGCCTGGGTGACGTGAACCGCTGTCATGAGCGAAGGACAGGGTGACGGAAAAGATTTGCCATGAGTGCACAAACCTCTTTGAGTGTGATTTGACTCATGTGGCACTTAGAAGGGGGCCCCTTTAGCATTATTCCCATCTATAAACGAATGTGGAATGTAACGTGCGTAAAGTGACTGGAAGAGCGCTGTGTCCAGTGGTGCAGGTTGTATTACATGAAATTGAAAATAAAAAATCAAGTATATGACTCAAATAACCAAATGATCAATATATATATTTTTTTGTACTAAGTTATTTACTAAACAGAGAAATGATATGAAGTCTGTGCAAGGAAAATAAGTAATTACCATCTGGATAAAGCAAATCAAGACAAATATTGACACTGAAAAATGGTAATAAAGCTAAAAAAGTTTACACAAAATAACTTTTCAAAGAGGAGGCACAGAGTCATCACCACTCATAGGTGTTCATCCATACCCGGCTTATGTGCCGCACGCTTGGGATACTGGCGACTTACATAACCCATTGCCCGGGTTTTCAGCTCCATGATTTCCATGATGCAACTGGATCCAAAGCTTTAATAAACTAAACTTACAATGGCCATGTACTTAAATGACATTCCTAATGGCATTGGGTTAAATTAGAATGGATTGCTCTGACCTACAATTGTTCAAGCTGCTGTTGTGTGATAAGGAAAGCTTGATTACAAAATCAAGTCATAATAGCAATGTTCTTAAACTTCATTTTCTTTAATGATTAACACAATCAGAAGGGGAGCCCCCAGTGCAATACTGAACAACACAAAGGTGCATGATGGAGTCAGCTGGTTAAGGGAAGAATCAGAATTATAAGAAACAAAGTTCTATGCAAACTAAATGATTGCACCTTGGGTCAAACAAGCACACACGTTTTGCATGCATAAATTTAAACAACATATGACACAGCCGTCATCTAAGCATTAGGGGTTATGATGTTAGAGGACATCATCTGATGTCTCCCTGCTCAAATAGGTAAAAAAAGGATGAGGAAAGGAAATAAAAAACATTTTGAACACTTAAATATATTTATATCACGCTTCTCATACAGTCAGCTGAGAGAAAGACATAAGTATTTTTTGAGGAGACAAAAATACCCATTGACATATCATTACAGCAATCAGAATATTATACAGACGATCACACTGATGTTTGAAGTGAGGGAGACAGTTGATTTTGGCACAGTAGTCCATGGGTAGAAGGAGTTGACCCAAAGCTCTTGTGTCTTTGAAGGCCATCTAGAAGAGGCACCAAGACGCAGCACTGGGTCATATATAAGAAAAAAGCTGGGCATTGGGCTCTATACTCCTTGTCGGAGGGGTTGGGCTGAAGGGTCATTCTTGCCCTTTGCAGGTCTGGGTTACCACTTATGCAGGAAAGGTGGGCTTACCTGCATATGCAAAGGGATTATACTTAAGGTAATAAGACATGGATTACTATGTGACCTGTAAATTTATATATATATATATATATATATATATATATATATATATATATATATATATATATATATATATATATATATATATATATATATATATAAACACACACACACACATACATATATGTACTTGTGTATGTGTACATGTGTGAGGGAATTCAAATGTGCACATGATTGTACACATATATGTATGAGTAAATTAAATTGGTGAACTTGATTTTTTCATTTAATTTTGAGTTAATTCTTATTACCAATAATTCCAATGCCTTTAAACCCATCCTGCTTTGTCCTTCTTTCCAACCCACCGTAGCTCAGCAGCATACACACACACCAACATCCACTCTCTCTCTCAGACCAACATTTACAAATAGAATAGTTATGGGAACAATTCATGTATCTATTAAAATGTCTATCAATCTACAGCTAACATCAATCTCTTTGGCTTAAGATCCAAACTAAAGTTATGAAAATGCAATTAAGTACAATACCAATGACGACATGAATGATTGTATTACAGGGTGGGATTACAAGGACTGGGGATTGAGGTTTTTGTGTATTCAACATAGGCTGGGTGCTCTCTACTGGAACAGGGAACAAAAGAATTTGGTGCTCTGTCCAGCCTATTATTCATCCTGATAGGTGCTGGATTTATAAGCACCTTTTTATGGGAGAGGGGAGGGAAAGGGAGGAAACTGCCAGATCGCACATGCATACTGCAAAATCGCATCCTATGCAAATACTTTGTACACAGCTTTTGTTTTGTGCACCAGCCCTACCCTAGAGCACCCAGATGATGAGGAAGGGAAGAATACTGATGATCACAGTGAGTTTGTCCCACTGTTGATGGACCTCACTGTGAGCAGGTTCCGACTGTGCACTAGGGCCTCACGGCTGGTCGAGTCCCACTGAATGTTGGCCTTATTGTTTGTCGGTTCCCACTTTATGTTGGCCTTACTGTTGATCGGATCCCAATGAAAACTGGGCCTGATTGTTAACTGGGCCCTAAACTGCTGGGCTTCACTATTATTTTGGTCTTATTTAGTTAAGACCTTAGTGTTAGCTGGGTCCCACAGTAACCTTGGCCTCATTCTGACACGGGGGGGGCCCCTGAAGATTTACGACCTTGTTATGATTCTGACCCCAATTCAGTTAGTCTTATTGAGAACTGGGTCCTATGGTAATATACCCCATATAGCAAACAAGTTGTTGTAGTACTTGTGCCTCATTTTTCCTAACCTATGCATATTGATCTTTACAGTGAATCTAGTTCTACTACACAGTAGGGATTCACTGTGACTTGGGCCCTGTCACTTAATAGAGGCTTCTAAAAGTACTCATCATTTGTAAGTGGAACCTCAAAAGAGGATAACTCCATGGTTATTACTGAAGTCCACTAAAATGATCTAACTTTAACTGTGGCCCAACAAAAGCATAATCTCACAAAATTAGCAAACCATTTACAGGGTTTCACTAATTCTGGGCATATCTGCATGCAGAACTTGATGTAAACCTTGTAAAGAGTAAGGCTTCACCTATGTTGAGTCATGCATTAAGAAGGGTCTCACTAGATAAGGGTCCGATATAAGGACCTCACTAAAGCAGCACCCTGCATGAAGAGGGCCTCACTAAAGCAAGATCCTAAAGAGGAAGGGCCTCACCGAAGTGAAGTCCCGTTTAAATGCACCTCACTAAAGCACAGCCCCATTCTGAATTTGACCATACAGTAACTTAGGCTGCTTTATAAGTTAGACTGCACTACTAATTGGGCTATAATTTGTAAAGGACACCATGAGAATATGGGTCCACCTTTTGAGTTTAGCCCTTCTGGGAATTGGGCTCTGTAATACAGTGTTGCTTTAAGGTGGATCAGAAAAAGACTACTCCTAGTTGTCATTTCCACTCCAAACCGCTACTAATAAAAGTTATGACTTACAGAAGCTTCTACAGTGAAACACTTGTATCCTTATCTGAGAATTGTCATTTAAGCCCAATTACACATTTCAGCTTCTGATGGAGACAATAATTTAATTATCATAGTAATTAAAATAAATTATAATTACAATAGTAAAAATTATGATAATTTCATTACCTTATTATAATCATTATTGTTATGAAAATTACAGCATATATTTCAAATAAGAAAAAAATCTGATCTTTCCCTAAGCCTGGACCATCCAGAATAAAGAGATGTTCCTAAACACTTCTGTAAGGTTCCAGCCTACAGCAGCGGAACGGCTGTGAGAAATGCAACGTGAAGGTCCAAGTACTACTTAGGATTCTCTTTAGAACACCTTCCCCCAATTTGACTCCAGCTACTAAAAAGCAGCTTTAGTAACCATTCACTAGTCCTATCTGGTACAGGGGGAGGAAAGCATACCAGACAATAAAAAAGCTTATTCCTTGTAAGACTCTTCATTGGTGTAGCACTCATGTCTTACGTATTTTATACTACCAACTGCTCCACTGGAAGTCAAATGGTAAGCATAATGAAAAACTACTACTGGAAATTCTCACTCCAGCTTTCTGGTAGACTTGGCTATCAGACACTGACCACTCAAGTAGTGAGCTGGAAGTTTTCTCCACAGCTCACTGTATTGTAGAGTATATGCTACCCACTGCAATACTAATGAACACAAAGTCTTGTCTAGAGAGCATTAATGGTCAGCACACTGCTTGCTTACAGGTTTTATCAAGCAGACCTATGATATTAGCAGAGAAACACAGCTTATTCTGCTGTGAATGCAGATTTTTCAGATTCACAGCATGCAGTAGCCACTTACTTGCAGACTACAGCAAAAAAAGCACATCTCACCTGACCAGGACGCTGAAGTGCAATAAACCTCTGGAATACTGCACAAGGCTCCTAACAGACCCTTTGATAAGGTCTTCACCATAATAACGGTCTTGACAAAGGTTGCAAATCGCAAACCTTCTAAGCAAAGATGGAGCCTTATAAGGCTTATAATGTGACTGCAAAAGGCCATCTGCCCATGACTGTCTGTTGGACTGCAAACAAACAAGCGTTCCTGGCTTTGAGTTGTAAGCAGCTCACAAGACAACTATCTACTTAACAACGCAGATTTTGACCACAACACAAACAATGAAGACAGCAAAACTGCACACTACGAGATTTGATTCTTTTCTACCAGTACATTATCTACTATCTTTGGCCTTGTTGCAATACCAATGTTTTCTGGGCTATGAGATATGGTAATGAGTCAAGAATGGTTGTAGAACACTGCCTTGGAGGTGGGTGTGCGAGGATGGATGCATCACAGGTACCACACCAAACTTGGCCTAGGAGTCAAACGCTACCAATGAATGGCTACTCTGACCCGAGGCCAAGTAATATTGCACACAGAGACAGCGGGTATGGTTTGGGGTGCACAGGTCTATACAGTGACCTGAGGCAGCCAGTGGTGACAGCGACATGCGCCGCCTGGGGGAGACGGACCACTGCCTGCCCTCCATCATGCTCACCCACCAGTCACAACAAAATTCCTTCTTTGTGCGAAAGACGATAAGGCAGATGACAAGAGTGACTTAGATGGCCTGCTGAGGGCCACAATCATGACTGGACCCAGGCCCCCAGCGGCTGAGTGACACATTTCCAACACCTCTGTCCCAGGCCAGACCATAAACAGTGGGCTGGGGACAAGGGCAGGAGTTTATTAAAATACTGTGGACACACACAAATGTAGGGCAAAGAAGCACTGGGGAGTGCTGGGGGAGACTTGCCCCACATATGGCTGTCCACATCACAACAATTATACCACACTACCAAAAAATAAAATAATCAACAGGCGTGAACCATTGGAAGATTTGCTAGAAGACACAGCGGTGACGGGTCGCAGCATCACTGGCTCAATTCACTAACCTGAGGCCATAGCCAACACTAGCATTAACGGGGCATCCCACCACCTCCAAGAATCTCAATGGAGTATATATCATGTTACAATTAGAAAAAAAAAGAAAAAAAGAAAGAAAGAAAGAAAGAAAGAAAGAAAAAAAAACAGTACTTATTGCGAGTCTCTAGAAGTGGTAACTCACATTCAAATCAACCTCTTCACTTAATGGAAGTGTATTCAATAAGATTTTTCAGCAGTTACTGTATTGAAATATTAAGAAATCCAGCACCTTCATTGTCCTGCATAAGTTATGCTGGACAGATCAAATTATAATGGAAGTAAACTTTTACATATAAATCCATTAATCAAAGTTGACTTTTGGACCAAAAGACCCATGTGAGTTGGGGACAGTTTTACCCACATGACTGTCTTGGCTAGGCGGCTGTTCTACAACCTCTAATTTGGCTGCGACACACACACCACCGCCTGGGACTTAACACAGATGCGCACACACACACCAACATTCAGAGGTGGGGTGGGGGTGGGGATGGGGAGTGGGAGGGGTTTCTGTTCCCCTCTACTACGCACTGAGAGTTATATGTTTTTTTTGTTTTTTTTAATGTTATATGTTTTTTTGCTTCCCTCTTATGGTCATGAATATGATGGAAAACTTATTTATCCTTTCTATGAAATGCAATACTGGTCTAAGCTCAATATGTAGGTCAATAAACTGTGGACCTTATGTAGTTCTGACTTGAACCTTATTCATATCATTCAAGTTTTTAGGGTACGTTTTTAACAACGATCTTGCCCTTTATTTTCTTTTTAATCTGCTGAGGAAGAAGAGAAGACACACAATAAATGTATGCCATTTGAGAACTATAAAAGCACATTACCACATTGGCTACAATAGTATAGTTTATCCACTACCTGTATGTCTGTAGTACAGAGCTGTGATCAGAACAGCTACATTGAACCTGGTTGGTGAGCGTCTAATAAGCAATGATTTCCCATTTCATAACTTAGGTGGGGGGAAAAGTAAACTTACTGAAATGCCACCAATGACTCAAAAAAAGCTGATCTTGCCACTTGCCTGTAAATTGTGCGTAGATAAGAGTCACTAAGGTTAAGAATGCACGATGGGAAAGACCAAATGTTGTGGGGGAGAAATGATTCCATACATTAGACAACCCTGAATACCACTAAATCCAGAACTGGAAGCATACAGTCTTATATAAACAAACATCTTGCTGTTTTCATATTGGACTGCAAAACACCTGGCAACTTATTAAGTATAATCTAAACACTTGTGATTGATGCACATTTATAAGGACTTGTCAAGCCCATTTTCTTTGGCATATTGCACCATAAGTATATGAGGAGGGCTTCCACCACTTCAAGAATATAAAATATTTTTATGCACTTGTTTGATTGTGAGTGTGTTATAGCATGTGAGTGTACATGAGTGTATGTTTATGTGACTGAATGATCTAGAAACAATACAAAAGAGGGCCAAAAGTTAATGAGTTGTATGGTCCTACATCTGGTCTCCCCCATACCTGCATCCAAGTTTCTTTCCACTGCCAGACATTAAATATTATCCTGATGCTAGTTATCTTTTGTGCACTTCTTACTAGCCTTTTGGAATCATCTGGTACCATAACTGGACAAGCAATTTTAGTCAAAAGTTATAACTTTCAATTTCACTTCCTTTTCCATTTCTTTACATGTGCTAAATCATGAGCCTCATAGGTTGATTATCTATAGTAAGTGCTTACTGCATTAAAATGCAATATATATCCTTCAAACCTCCAGAACTGGAAGTTCAAAAGTTGGCAATTTTCCCTAACAATACACTGAAAGAAGTCAGTAAAAAATAAATAAACATTAGAATTATTCTTTGTAAAATTCCTTACGAACTTTGTATCTTCCTATCATATTCCAAATGCATCATGCATTTACAGAACAACACTATATAAATACTAACTTCAATTAAAAAAAATCTCTCTACAACTCTCCCATGTAATATCTTTCCATCATGAAATATATCTATATTTAAAAATATTGTAACTTATAAATTCAGAGATCTTCCATATTAGAATCTTTTGCAAAAAAAATACTATAATAATAATGAAAAAAAGTCCATCATAAAGAGTATTATTAGATATACAATGTTAATCACAATACAGCCATTATCAGTTGTGCTTGTTGAGATATTCAACTCTTTGTGCAGTCAAAATTGAATTTTTTCCTACTATTATTCATTGTTTTTTCCCTTCCTTCATCTGCTTTCTTCCCTAAAGAATCCTCTCATATAGTCTGCACATCAAGCTTCCTGGGGAGACTTTAGCACTTTGTACCTGGAACATGGAAGAGCATGAAATTAGCAAGGCAAACAAGAAAAATCAACAGTAGAATCAATTCAAAATACTGTGTAGAGCTCTCATTATTAAAATACCTACTCTGATTCCCATACACAAACTATTGTACATATAAAAATTCAATAAGTATAACATACAGACAAGAAATCACACAACCAAAGCAGAATTAAATACTTACTGTGCTGCATTTGCACTTAGGTTTGACATGGTGCAGCCGCCATGGACTTAAATTCACGATTAACAAAAGAAAATCCTCTAAACTCGTCCTGGTTGATAGCACGAACAACTTCTTCATTAATAAAGGTGAGAGTTGGCTCTTCCTTAGTAAACTCGGCATCAAAGTTGACTGTATCCTTACGTCCCTTCTGTTGAGTGAAAGGAAATAATGTTTCAGTAATAAGCCAGCAAACTGTCTATGCAAGTTTGTTGTATTATTGTTCATATTCACCTAAGATTAGTATCTTCTCCCTTCTTTTCATTTTGAATATTTCTTATAAAATTTATTTTAAAGGAATTTTAAATATCATTCCAAGTACAACAATCAAGTATCTAATATATACAATTATTTCTGTGAAAATGAGAGAACTTTGAAGCCTATCATTGTAGATGATAAAGTGTATCTGCCAACCAGCTTGACAGCAATGTGGTACTTTGCTCTTTTTAAACCAAAGAGGAGTTACTTTTCAATACCATAATTCATAATAAAACAATTTTTTTTCCTTTTATATATTCTTGCATATCCTCTCTGCACCCACATGAAATAAAACAGGGGAAAATTATTTTCAGATACAAAAAAGAATTCTATTTCATCCCCCTTTTCTTTAGTATTCCTATAAATGGGAGTTGCTGAAAACCATAATACAGTTACTTACTATCTTAGGTGTAAATGGTGGTTTAACTTTGCGCTGCTCAAGGGCCTCCCAGTCTATCTCTCGGAAGAATTTGTGGTTACGAATTGCCAATTCTCCTCCACGCTCTGCGACACAGCCCAACCGCTTGGATGGTTCCTTTGTCATAAACTTAGGGGAGAAAGAAACAGAGAATCAATATCATAATAGTGAAAGAGAATTAACAACAATTGTTTAAAAAACAAATACATCCAGTAAAAATATTAATATTCACATCACATCATGACTTACCCCTTTCAGTATAGAAACTGCTTCCTTTGAAAGCCACACTGGATATAAAACTTCTTCATGCAGGATGGATTCAAAGAGATCATCTTCATTATCAGCCTCAAATGGTGGCTGTCCTGCCATCATTTCATACATGAGAACTCCTAGTGCCCACCAGTCAACACTTGCACCATAGTCCAACTCTTTAAGAATCTGTTGAAGGATAGGGACAATATTTAAAATGTATAATAAATCACTGCATAAGAAGTTCTCTTACAATACTTTCAATCATATCGAAACATGCAAAAAAAGCCATCTTTGAACTTGGCAAGACATGGTGAATCAGTTAGCTTGGCAATAATCAAGAACATTTTGATCAATAAAGAACACTAAACATTTAAACAATTAACACCTTATTTTACAAAGTATCAAATCTCAAATAAACAAATTTTCATGTTTGTGCTCTTCTCTTTGGTTTTACAGTAAGTACTGATCTGATCTCTTTATACTTTCCTTACTATGAATTGCATAATAATGATGTAGAGAGAGAATCAAGCCTACATTGATGCAACTCTGAATTAGGACAGTAAGAAATATGTTGATCAAAAGTCCTAATCCATATATATTTATTTGTAATATCATAATGTATATGAATATCAAATTCTAATATAATCTGAAACCTAACCCCATTTCATATAATTGCAGAATTCAGTTCAATAAAGACGATTTCATGACAATAATTACAACATTAATTCAGATTTTTTCAATGACCCAATATTAATCTCGCCTACTTATTGAACTTGGCAACTGTGTTCAATAATCCTATCACTATGTGCAAACAAGTAATCCTTGAACATGAGTCTGATGTCCCAATGCCATAACTCATGAGATAAAAAAAAAAGTGCCACAAGTTGGTTTTTCTGACACATGCAACAACTTGAAATCCTCAACACGTATTCGCATAAGAAATTCAATTTTCAACATTCTAAATATCTTTAGTTTCTAATAAGAGAACAATTTGAAAAGTATCCTTCAATAGTCTGTACAGACAAACCTTACAAGTATTTCTCATCACCGAGAACATTTACCCCTAAAGACTACTTTCATCCATAGAACATAATAATACAAAGATCTTATCTTATTTCTTATTTCTGGTAAACAATAACCCATTTCTTTATTCAGTTGAAACCCATGTAAACAGTTTATTATACAATAATTATGAATGTCTGTATAACACCAATAGAAAGGGTCACCAGCTATGAATCTAGCTTCAATGCTGCTATGGTGCTTTTTAGAATGTCACCGTTCAAAACATTCTATAGGAAAATCTCTCTCCTTCTGTACAGGGAATTCAAACATGTGTCAAACCCGGTCTCTTAATGAGCTGCACAAATGTGAAAAGCAAACAAACAAAAGTTCATATTCAATTACAAGTTCTGGGTTTCTGTATCTACAAAGAAAACAGATTAAATTTACAATAGTGGGGCACATCTATGGGTGAGCACACAGTGAAATAAAACAAAAAAATATACCAGGCTTACATCACTGACATTTCACCGTATCTCACTCTTCAATTTGTTGCAAGCGCTGTGCAGAAGACAGGTAAAAAGGTTAGTGGGGAGATACGGCACAAGCACTGGGTTAGCAGGGACGAACATAATACATACTACAGGTATCACATACAGTACAAACACTGTAGGCTGCGATGTAAGGAGATATAAAGCTGTATCTTAGTCTACAAGAAGTATCATAGACAGCATCTAGTACAGCTCAATATTTCTATAACCACAGCAAAGTAACACTACTCAAAAATTACAGCCTAACACCTCAGCTATACAAATTTTTTTCAAAATAAGATGGAGCAAGGTATATCTGATTTATCATCAACAAAATTATGAAACAAATCCAAACAAATTAAACTCATATGAATAATAAAGCAGTATATAAGCTTTACAATTACAAGTGATCTCTTTATCAGATGCTATGGTATATTCAAATACCTAGTCCCCTTTTTATTATTTTACTTTATCATGAGTAGGAAAAGTTATCTGAAGTTAATATAAAATTAAACAGAGGATTTCTTGCTGCTTTCAATTCCATGCAAAATTATTATTTTATTTCATATCTTTATTCACTTGAATGTCTTCACACACCATTGACTATCAGGGCCACATGATTACTGAATGGTTTCGCGTCACTTATATGAAAGTAGTCCTGGAGGTAGAAAATGCAAAATCACTTACAATGAACCACAGTTCCAAAATTACCTAATGTATGCCCAAAGACCCTTAAAAAATCAAACTATTTTTGGTATTTAATTTTGATCTGTTAATAAAACGGGGATATAAAATCTCATCACCAGGAAACATTACAATCATAAAAAAAAAAAATCTTCCAACACATATTCATAAGAAAAGGTTACACAGGGCTGCTACAGAAACAGCCTAGGTGATCTAATGAGCAAAATACTAAAAGCCAACACAGATGTCTTGCTCTGGCACAATTAAAGCAAAAACCTGAATAAGTAAATAAAATTGGGAAAATAAATAACAAAATACGATAAACTACTAGACACTGGCAAACAGCTGCACATAATGAAATAATACAGAATAGGATACTAAAGGAATGGATTTAAATTATGACTTTATTACTTACCTCTGGCGCAATGTAATCTGGTGTTCCACAGAAGGTGGTTGTTGTAATATTATCCCTGATGCCTTCCTTACACATACCAAAATCAGCTATTTTACAATGTCCTTCACTGTCTAGTAGAATATTATCTAACTTCAAATCTCTGCAAGAAAAAAAGAGAAACAATAGAATCTTGGTACTTATATTAAGTATCCACTATACATATATGCATGCATATACATACATTACATATATACATATAAACATACATAAATACATACATACATACGTATATACATACATTACATATATTACATGCATAAATGTGTGGGGTAGAATCCTTGTTGGAAAGGGTATACACATTTCTATTTCATCTTAAAAACATACATATAAAGCAATACAGACATACATACACATTCATACACATACAGAGTATATATATAGTTGGGCTTTACAAATAACAAAGGTCATATTCCAAAACCTCCTATGATGATTAACAATTCCTTAGTAATTGCTGTAGCAATAGACTAGACTATGGATTGACTGGTAGTTGCATTACCTTGGAGACCATTGTATATGGTAAAATCATAAAAAAACGATGTATACATAAACAATATCTGATTACTTGAAAAAAGCATATATTAGATCGAAACTGTCAATTAATATTTTTTAAATGATACCCATTTCACAACTATTATTTTTGTCAAGTACTATACAATGCATCATTTCTACTGCCTTTTATTATTATTTGTTCAATATTCTTTTTCTGCTACAGTATTTCTGGTATCTCATAACTGCATCTTTTGATTAATTACACTTTTCATACATTCTAATCAGATTAACAAATGAAGCTCTAAAATGTAAGGGCATATTATCTGTCTATCTCTCCATCTATCTATCTATCTATCTATCTATCTATCTATCTAATCTACTATCTAACTATCTATCTATCTATCTACCCATCTATTCACCTATCTATTTGCAAATATTAAAGCCTAAATAAATATACATGGCTTATATACACAAAAGTGATGCTTAAAAGTGTTATCAAAGTAAATCCTTATGATGGAATAAATGGCCAATGACATACTACATACATATAAAATAACATCAATCACACATACCTGTAAATAACACCATTTTTATGGAGGAACTGTAAGGCCAACGTGACCTCAGCTGCATAAAATCTTGCACGTGACTCTGTGAACTTGCGAGCCTTCTGAATTTGGAACATTAGGTCGCCACCATTAACATATTCCATAACAAAGAATAATCGATCCTGGAAAACAGATAGAAATATGTCAATTTATAACTACTAATAGATTATGCATTAATTGTATATAAAAAAACACAGATCTTTTGATTCAAGAAAAATATTAATATCATTCTATCATTTATATTAAAAAAGAAAAAGAAAATCTAAACATTCACATCACTATGACCAACATAAACTGAATAAAAAGATTCATCATATATTGCAGAAATCTATAAATGTCTATGTCTTATACGTCAACCACTCACCTTGGTTTGAAAGCAAGAGTGGAGGGCAGTGAGGAAGGGGTGGTGGGCAGCCATCGCTAAGATCCGCCGCTCAGTCATTGTACATTCTACATCATCATCTTGTAGGATCACATCTTTCTTAAGCACCTGTAAATTCAGTCAAATGGATGATTAACACAGTCCATAATTCCCCTTGCATT